TTAGTTCAAAGTTAAAAAAACCCAAAAGCTGACTTTAACATGTTTAAAATTAATGCCATGAATGAATCTGCGGCTTTTGATGCCAGACAACCTCCTACAATTGCCTCCTGCCAGTTTGTCGAAGAAGTTTTAAGAAAATAAACAAGCATTGTCACTAAGGTGACATAATCCCCCGCCGCAAATTATCAAATCAAACTTATAAAGTAATGAAAGTTTAAGATGAAGTTAAATGTCAACAAAAACATTATCTTGCTCTTTAGTTGTTCAAACACACACATATTTTCAAGACTGACTTTGACCTTGACATGAATGTCATAGTGTATGAAATATGCAAAACTAGTACTAAAGAAATTGCTTATTGAAAAACATTCAAGAGAGGTCTTGAAAGTCTATGAAGAAAATCCAGTGAACCGTTCTTAAAATATCTTGCTGACAATTCAGGTTAACATTCTGAAATCTTCATAGTGTCGGAGTGACCCTACAAATTATGTGAAGGTCACCAAAATTGACTGGGCCCTCGACCTTCCCTAGATGAAGCTTGGTGTCAAATATGAAGAAAATCCACTGAATATTTTTGGCGATATCTTGCTGACTATCTTAACAAGCAATTTAACATGCTGAAATCTTCAAAGTGTCTCGTGACCTTGAAACTTAAGTGAAGGTCACCAAAATCGACTGGGCCCTGTGCCTTCATTTGGATAAAGCTTGGGGTTGAATATGAAGAAAATCCAGTGAACGGTTCTTGAGATAGATTTACATGCAGGTTTACATGCTGAAATCTTCAAAGTGTCGCCATGACCTTGAAAATTATGTGAAGGTCACCAAAATCAACTGGGCCCTGCGCCTTCCCGAGATAAAGTGAACGGTTCTTGAGATAGCTTAACATGCAGATAAAACGTGAAAGTCACCTTGTGACCTTGAAATGAAGGTCAAGGTCACCAAACCTGAGTTGGACCTTTCTTATAGTGTGATGAACACAGGTACCAAATATGAAAAGAATCTAGAGAATGGTTCTTAAGATATTCCAATCTTGTACATAGGCGGATGAAGCCTAATACTATAAGGGTTCTTGAGATAGCGAATAACAAGCAGAGTTAAGGCAAAATTAACACCACTATATGGTGGAACTTCATTGTCAGCATTGTTTTTAGAAAGGTACTGTTTGAGATATATATATATTGATTTTTGTCCCTGATGAGTGATTATTGAAAAAAGACAATGATAAGAAATACTTAGTAGCTTAAAGCTTGAAGCTCTCTTATTAAATTGATTGGTGGCCATAGCTATCTTAGTATCTATGAAAAGTAACACTAACATATCACAAGTGTAGTGAAAATACAGCCTAGCGACACAAACCTGAAACAGATCATACTGGGTTGTCACTGAAGGGACAGGCGATGTGCCAATGTAACCTGCTATTGACAAGTGTGAAAATCCAAGCTGACTCATACTGCACATACCATAACATTCATGGACTAATTGGTGTGATGAGAACAATATATCAACTTTTACATGACTACATTTGCTTTAGACTATAGTAATGTTTCATTTAATTAAATAACGTTTAAAATAAATACCTTAATTGGTTTCTTGTTTCAATCATCAAGACCACCTGATGATCAGATTTGAAGATTTCAGATGCTAAATTTGGCGATTTTTCTTTCATGCAAATTGTCTTTATCTCCCTGTTGCTCTCTTTTTCTAGCCACAGTGGCCATAAATTGTTCAGCTGGTTATTTCTATGACTGATGTAATGTAGGCCAGAAATTAATTTCTTTTTATTTCATACAATACTTTAGGACTTGTACTGCATCAAATGTCCCTTAATAGGATTCAGTATAAATTGTCATTTCCAGTCGAGGGCAAAAATAATCCACTATAGACTTTCCATCTAATTATCTGTTACAGAATTGACAACTAAGTATATGCTACAGAAATGCCATCTCATTATCTCTTACTGAACTGTCATCTAAGTATTTGCTACAGTAATGCCATTTCATTATCTGCTACAGAACTGCCATTTAAGTATTAGCTATTTGCTATAGAAATGTTATCTAATTATTTGTTAGGAAGTTGACAACTATGTATATGCTACAGAAATGTTATCTAATTATTTGTGAGCAAGTTAAGATTTCAGCCATATCGTGACTGTATTCATCAGTGAGGTGAGGTGAAATTGGGTTTAACGTCGTGCTTGAGAATATTTTGCTCATATGACGATGTACATGCGTGTTTATGTGTATGTGCGGCTGCTTGTACTAGCCCAGACAGAAGCTGGTTTTATAGTGCTAGCCCACTCAGATACCATGCCGCAGTGAAGCATGAATACCCCACTCAGACACATTATACTGACTCTGAACCGACCAGTCCTTGTTGTACCCATTTATGCCGGGCGCCAGGCAGGGACCAACAAGTACCATATTTTAACGTCGTTTGGAATGACGTGGTCGGGGATCGAACCTGCGACCTTCCGCTCTCCGGGCGGACGCTCTAACCACTACACCACGGAGGTGGTCTGTATTCATCAGTTACAGAGTTGACAACTATATATATGCTTCAGAAATGCAATCTTAATATTTGTTACAGAGTTGACAACTATATATATGCTACAGAAATGCAATCTAAATATTTGTTACAGAGTTGACAACTATGTATATGCTACAGAAATGCAATCTAAATATTTGTTAAAGAGTTGACAAATAATAATATGTTACAGAAATGTTATCTATTTATCTACTACAGAGTTACCATCTAAGTACATTCTACAGAAATGCCATCTAATCATCTGTTATAGAGTTGCCACATGAGCAAATGCAAACACAGCGGAGATCTAATAAACTTCTGAAGGAATCTCAGCCACAAAATAAGGATAAATGTGTTCGCTTTCGGAAATTAGCCTTGCTGGACTTCTGACAAGCACCTAGCCTGATACCCCTGCAAGTGCCACCAGGCATACGGTGGACTGTTTAATGGTAGCTGCAGCTGAGCCACTATCTACATGATAAGCTCCAGCTAGCCAATCATCTACACAGCAAATGCCAAATTCAATCTGTCAACAGCTACACACATACTAGCAGGATGACTCAGTGTAGAGCCTGGTGAAATGTCAGTTTTTAAGGTTAAATCCGATCGATCAAACACCATTATCTGGTGTTTGTGTGTATGAATGGGGGTGTTTATTTGAATCGGAGCTAATAACAGTTAAATGGTTAAAAATGCCAAGCCACCAAACCTATTTGACCACAAAACATTCACTGTTTACAAGCAACGGTTGGTGGCTTAGAAACTCTAAATGGTCTTATAGGCTAAGAAAATTAAAATTCTGACAGTAAATCACACACTGTCGGCAATTTGTTAATTTTTTGATCCACCTAATCAATGTAATCTGAACTCTAGCCATTTTTGGTCCCTCAAATAAAGCAACAAAGAGGAGGTTATATAAACATGAAAATATTTTCAAAGGCGATGAAATATTACTTGCTCTGGTAAAACCATCAGAATAAATATTAAATGCTTTCAATATCTAGCTCCCTCATGCCTCCTAAGACCTATATCCAGTACAGAACCATCTCTTTTTATCATGATTACTTCACGCTATGTTAACTGAGGAGTCACAACATCGCAGTGCTCTGGTGCAGATGCATTCCAGGATCTCGGTTCCCCTACAAACAATATCTTTTGTTTTTGAATAACTTTCCTCCAAAACTCTATATGGTTTGTATTTGACTAGGCTTTCAGCAATATTCCTGTAACATGAAGCTAACCTGTAATTAACTGAGGCGGGACCAAACCAGTGATTGATATTATGAGCAATGAGCGAGCGAGTTTAGTTTTACGCCGCACTCAGCAATATTCCAGCTATATGGTGGCGGTCTGTAGATAATCAAGTCTTGACCAGACAATCCAGTGATCAAAAGCATGAGCATCGATCTCCGCAACATTGGGAACCGATGACATGTGTCCCCCAAGCCAGTGAGCCTAACCACCCGATCCCGTTAGTCGCCTCTTACGACAAGCATGGGTTACTGAAGATCAATTGAACCCGGACCTTCACGGGTCTTATGAGCAATGACCCAAGTCACTTGTTTCAATACACTGCATCATATTTCATATGATAAGCATATGTTGCTTGGCACCAATTCTAAAGCCTTATTCTCTATGTGAGCAAATATGCTTGTATTCAAGAAAAATACTATGAGCAGTGATGAGCAATTGAGTATGTGCAATATCCATTTATATTCATGAAGAATACTATGGCCAGTGATAAGTGAACATGGGCAATATGCATCATCCTTGTGTCACATCTGTAAGTTCTACATTGTGTGATGCATATATTATTAATCATAAACATTCAGTGAATATTCTGAGAGATGTACACACTAGAACACCATGTGAATACTTTTTCAACATGAAATATTTCATTTTACTTTAGGGAATATTTCTCATCAAAGCACTATTTAAAACATGTCTTGTTTACAATATTGAACCTTTTTTTTCTTCTCAATTTTCAAAATCTTCTCCCCTAAGCCTGTAACTGTTGAATTTAACAATGTCATATAGAGTAAGGTCAGTAAAAAAATATGTTTTCATTTCCTGTTCAACCTCCTGATAGTACGTCCATTTATCTGACAAGTAAATCATGTACATAAGAGGCACTTCCTGGGCAGTGTAGGTCACAAGTACACCATGCTGTGACAAGTCACTGGTGAGAGAGTGGTCATCACTTTGTCAATCTGACCTGGATGATCATGTCTTTCATCGTAAACTGATCATGACACAAGGTTTACGTCTTCTAACACTTGACTGCCAAAACCTTCCTCCATCAGAGGATGCCATGATAGACATGTAATCATGTTTAGGCTGCTGGGTGTGGATTAAATCAATGTTCACCTACATATTTCACATAACATGTACATATACCATGAGGCCACAGCATGCATGAATAGGTCACTCTAATGTTTCATACTTATGTGTCAAAGAAATATCTTGTTCATACTTACAAAGCTTGCCAAAACTTGCTGATATTCTTCTCTTAAGTTTCTTGATTCTGCTCACTTGTCCCTTTTCTTTACCTGGAATGAATAAGGTCGATGGATATGAACAAGGTCAAAGGGAATGAACAAGGTCGATGAGAATGAACAAGGTCGAAAGGTCAGGACAGGTCAAAGGGGTTTCAGTTCTTCCGACCACATAAAAAGGAATTACACTAAAAAGTAAATTTTACAAACAGAAAAAAAATGTCATGTGCAATGGATGCCCTCAAGTTCCATGTACCAGGGTGTAAATTACCATAAATTAAAAACTAATATGTATAATGTTCTTGATACAATGATCAAACAGCTGTAATAATATTTGATCATCATATTACTTTGTTGAACATGGCGAAGTCCTATTCAGGTGAACGAATATTCACCTGTGTCCACCCACTGACAAAGCCTTCAGTACCATCAGTAGTTACCCGTATATTAAGCCCTTGGTTGTATTTGCCTCCCATTGAAACAGCAGGATCTTTTCAGCAGACAAATATTGTCTGTTCAAACAGCCCCTCTGGGACTGTTTCCCTCTCACTAGGTCCAACTGACGAGTTCTGTATTGTTTCCAGGTTTTATAGCTGCTTATTGAAACATCAAGTGAAGTGTGTACAAGTTTTCCATATGTTCAAGTTCAGGTGCAAATCAGTGGGACCAGCAGCATGTTTTGAAGGAAAGGTGTAAGTGCTGTGATATGTAAGTCATGATAGTCAAATATATCTACCTAATGTTAACATCTCTTACTATAATTGTAAGTCTGCATGTATGTTTTTAGCTTGACATTCTGACAGTGTTTGCAAATGTAAATATAGTGACAGCATGGCCTTGACCCTGTTTATCAAGATAACCCTCCCAGATGGCTGTGATTAGGGTTATCTATCTATAACCAATAATGTCAATATGACAAAGAGATATTACCAAACATGTATGATCTGTGGATCAGGCCATTTGCACCATCTGGATTTACATGTTTTCGTCAGTTTTACGCCGCACTCAGCAATATTCCAGCTATATGGTGGTGGTCTGTAAATAATCAAGTCTGGACCAGACAATCCAGTGATCAACAGCATGAGCATCGATCTGTGCAACTGGGAACCGATGACATGTGTCAACCAAGCCAGCGAGTCTGACCACCCGAACCCGTTAGTTGCCTTTTACGACAAGCATGGGTTACTGAAGGTTCATTCTAACCCGGACCTTCACGGGTCTTATAACAAGAAATACTGCAGAGAATACAATTCATTTGCATCCTAATCATGCCTTATAGTGAATCAATAGTTTAGTCTCAATATCAAATTAATTCAATGACTGCAAAGAAAGAGAAAGGGTGCTTCGTCCTTTACTTAATTCTAAACATTAGATTTCACTGTAACCAATGAACAATGATGAACTCTAACTTTCCAATCTCTCTTAGCTCCTGCATAGTTAAAGCAAGTCATTGATCCTGCATATACTGTGTCCAGTTTATCAGCCACCTAATCACGCTTATCATGTCAAAAATCCATTAAGTGCAGACTAGTTCTTCCAAGATGAACTGAGAAAGCGGACACCATAGAAATGCCATTACCACAAATCCTTGAACCTCTAAATATACCTGTACAAATACTGCCTGAATGTTGAGTTCGTGTCATTGTTTATATGACAGAGCCAGAAGCAACTTTATGATCATGTCAACATAAATACATCCTTTAGCTTAACCAGTCATTAATACATTCATAGCACTAAATCTCTAGTTGAGACTTATCTCACTGGGAAATTCAGGTTAGAACTGGTCTCAAGCAGCCTATACTAGTTGTAAGAGGGGACTTAAAGGGTCAGGTAATCAGATTCAGCCACCTGCTTTACAGTATTTTTATTATGCTCCAACAGCACTGATCGTTGCTCAGTTTTTCAATCACTGGATTGTCTGGTCCAGACTATTATTTACAAGCTTCTGCAACATTAAACAACAAATGTAAATCTTGACATGGCTGGTAGTTGCAGGGCACAATGGCTATTTTCTCAACCAGTTACATCCTTCATTAACTCTGGCTGGTACTACATGCAGGTGTGAGTCTGAAAGGGCTTCCCAGACAATGAGCATGGTTGGTATACTTACCAGCTTACAGACTACAGACCATCTGGTGAGGGTGTTCACTGTGGATAGATAATAGGACTACATGCTGTGAATATACAGCTGTGTAAACTGGTAGGCGTTTAAGAAGAGGACAAAACTACACCTACACATTTTGGGTTGTTTTGTTTTTAGAGCCAGTAAATAACAAAATAACATGACAAATTAATGCTGTCTGTTTGAGAAGAGAAAAGATCTGCTATTAAGAAGCATGCATACAGTGTTCAAGTATCCTGGTGAGTGGGAGGGCGTTGTTGAACAGTCATCTCAAAGTGAGTCAACTTCAAAGTCCCATTTCAGGGTATTGCGTATAACATAACTGCAAAACTAGGTGAACATGCTAGTCATACTTGAATTAAAATAAAAGCACTGCTCTGTAAACAAATAACGTAATTTGTATTTAAAACCATATTTGTGTAATGTAATAATGTACAACTATGTCTTATGAAGTTTTTGAAAGGCATTTAGAAGTTGGACGAACATGAATACAAGACACTTTTATGGATAACAACTTCTTTTTATTCTTGACACGACGTTTCAGAGCTAATCATTGCTCCTTCATCAAGTGAATACTGAATCAGTAAAAAGAGTGAATATATATAGAGATTAAACATGTTTACACAATGCAAGGAGGGAGAATGTACAACGATAACAATATAATTACGTAGCCAACAATATAATTACGAATTAATCTAATCTTATTGGCTTCGTAATCTTATTGGCTTCGTAATTATATTGTTGGCTACGTAATTATATTGTTATCTTTGTTCATTCTCCCTCCTTGCATTGTGTAAAGATGTTTTATCTATATATATTCACTGTTTGTACTGATTCAGTATTCACCTGATGAAGGAGCAATAATTAGCTCTAAAAGGTCATGTAAAGAATAAAAAGAAGTTGTTATCCATAAAAGTGTCATGTATTCAACTATGTCTTAGATCTATGTTTCTTCATCTCCTTCATCATTTGTTCTTAGGTCCTGCTACCACCTTAAAGGCAATGCATTAGTAATCATCATAAAAACTTGAAAAGATTTTAAGGTTTAATTTTAAGGTGTACCTGGGGTTTAATGGACATCCAATTCCATAGTAAAATAGTGAGTTTAGTTTTACGCCACACTCAGCAATATTCCAGCTATATGATGGCGGTTTGTAAATAATCAAGACTGGACCAGACAATCCAGGGATCAAGAGCATGAACATCGATCTACGCAACTGGGATACAATGACACATGTCAACCAAGTCAGCGGGCCTGACCAGCTGATCCTGTTAGTTGCCTCTTACGACAAGCATGGGTTGCTGAAGATAAGATCAATTCTAACCTAGATCTTCATGGATCAGTAAAATGAGTGAGGGTGTGGGACTCACTGACCATTGATCATAATAAAGGGAAATATCACTTTTGAACAAAGTGTCAGCAGTTCCTGTAACTTGGGGCCTCATACCACATGTCCTCTCAAGTCCTAGTTGGAATATATCCGTAGATTCAACTACCACAGGAGAAGATCTATCTGAAAGACTCCAGACCTCGGGTTAACCTTGAACATCACTAACTCACTGACTGGTTTGGTTTTACGCCGCTTTTAGCAATATTCCAGCAACATCACGGCCGGGGACACCAGAAATGGGCTTCACACATTGTACCCATGTGGGGATTCGAACCCGGGTCTTCGGCGTGACGAGCCAACGCTTTAACCATTAGGCTACCCCCACCCCATCACTAACTGTGTCAGGGGACTTGTCGCTCCTGACCCATGACTATCCAAATCTTGTGAATGAGTGTGAGTGAGTGAGTGAGTGAGTGAGTGAGTGAGTGAGTGAGTGAGTGAGTGAGTGAGTGAGTGAGTGAGTGAGTGAGTGAGTGAGTGAGTGAGTGAGTGAGTGAGTGAGTGAGTGAGTGAGATAGATAAAAGTCCTATCTCTAGTGATGAATGTAATGTTTACTGCATTGACAAAATGAGAAATCAAACTCATTGGATATCTGAGATTTAAACAATTACCAATAAACTAACATGTTTGAAAAAAAGGCCATTGCCTTTTTCATTTGGTTTTTGTTTTCAAGTCATCTTACAATGTCTAAAGGAAATAATTAAACATTCAAATCAACTTTACATGATGTTTTTCTCCTGCCTCAGTGGCATACTGACCAAGCATACACATAAATGAAAACAATAAATCTGTCTGGCATAACATGCTGGGATACACAACTCTCAGTAGTAAAAACACAATAAGGGGTGTAAGGTCACGCTGAGCCAAAACTGATTATAACCATGATAACGAGATGAAAGTACTGTTGATTCCAGGAACTACCATAATTACTTGTCTGCCTAACAAATTATACATGTGCTCCATGTCAACATGCACATGTAACCTGACTTTGTGGCTCACCCACAGAATCACCCACGTCATGCTGAAAATCCGTTTCGATTCCCCACATGGGTACAATGTGAAGCCAATTTCTGGTGTCCCCTGCCGTGATATTGCTGGAATATTGCTAAAAGCGGCATAAAATCATACTCACTCACTCACTCAAGTAGCCATTGCTAGAAACATGTTTCCATATGATATGGTAATTTTCATGGTTTTGACATAAATCTTCCACTTGTGGGAAAACTTTTGACTAATGACATTGGTTCTTTCTTTAGTTCATACCAGTGCATACTGGTACTCTAGGTCCTAAAGCTCTAGATAAGCTTTTGGCCATGTGGGTATGATACCCATACTTTTGAAACTAAGTGGGTATTTCCAATTTCAAGAGGATATCTATACTTTTAGATACCCACCATCTTTTTAAAATCTGGGTATTCATTTCAAATAAGTATAAGAGGTGCAACATTTTTTTATTGAAAAAAAGATAAGAAAAAATCCTATTGATAATGCTAACTTAGAGCTAATAGCTAATACTGCTTTATCCACATGTGCTGTAAGAAATAATAAGTACATTCCAAGTTCAGACAGTCCATGTTTGACTTCTTTACCCACAACTTCATATCAAACAATGACATCACCATCCACAGCACACAAAATCCTTCAGAGCAATTATATGATGATTATTATTAAAATCATTGATTGAAGTCATCACAGTTATTAAGTCAACTGAAATGTACTAACTGTTGCCAGATGGGTGAACAAATTACATGCTTTGGACTAAATTATAGCTAAGGATTCACAGCAGTCAAAATGGATACAGGTACTGAGGTAGATCACCGGGCTAGGATTTCATCATGCACACTCTGCATATGATCTTGTCAAATGACAACAGTTCTTCATTCAGGATAAGGGAAATTCAAGAAAAACTACCTGGGTGAGTGAGTGAGTGAGTGAGTTTAGTTTTACGCCAAACTCAGCAATATTCCAGCTATATGGCTGTGGTCTGTAAATAATCAAGTCTGGACCAGTCAATCCAGTGATCAACTGTATGAGCATCGATCTAAGCAATTGGGAACCAATGACATGTGTCAACAAGCCTGACCACCCGATCCTGTTAGTTGCCTCTTACGACAAGCATAGGTTACTGAAGATCAATTCTAACCCGGATCTTCACGGGTGGAAAAACTACCTAATGACATGTCCTTGAGTGCCATCATGGTTAACATTATTGTGTAAACTGTCATTTATGCTGACAACTGAAAACACAATCTAACCAATATGACTTTAACTCTGAGCTGAACTGGAACTGGAACAGTGAATCCCTTTTCAACAATGGTCAGCAACGTCTTCATCTCAGGCGTAAAACTGAGATCTTTTAATGTTAACCCATCTGTGGTGTCATCATTTTATGCAGCATTTATTCAGAGTATTTTAACATTTTCCTTCCATTGTTGGTACGGGTCTCTCTCAGTTCATCTCAAATCTAACCTAGACAAAATTGTTAACACTGCAAGTAAAATCGATGGAGTCAGATTTGAATGTTTATCATCAATATACAGGGATGGCAACAGGAAAATCTCTTTTCAGCTAAAAACTTAATAGTGTGTCATCGAGTTGAGGGTTTCTCAATGGATTTAGACGATTCACAATTGAACAATTTGAAATAAAATCCGAGGAAATCAATGGATCAGCAGAAAATTGCCATTCCTGAATATATGAGCGGCAAATTGTGAATCAAGCTGTCAAAAGTATATCTGACCGAACTCACTACCTATATTCGGAATACAACCTCCTCCCTTCAGGCCGCCGCTACAAAGTTCCAATTGTGAAAACTAAGAGAGCCCGAACATCCTTTATTCCAAGTACCATACCTCTTATAAACAAATGTGAAGTTGCTTAATCAATGAATTTATGTAAATATGTTTTGTATCTCTCTCATGTGTCAGTAGCTCTGCTGATGTAACACAAATTCCTGAAAAGACATTAAAGTGTTATTCTATTGAGTATTCTCTTCTATTCTAAAGAGATATTAGTCTGTCTCACAGTCCCAGATCTGCATTATTTCCCCTCTGCCCAGCCCTTTCTGTAATGCTGAAGATCTAAATGAAACAAGTCTGAATTTCCTAATAATGCAATAAACAAACATCAGAAACAGAACAGTTTCATTCTAAAAAGACTTACAAGGATGAACATTTGGGCATTCCGAGTCTCCAATCTCGCTGGGTCTCCTTTTATATTTTAAAGTTAGTCTACTCAGATGTGAACAGTCAAAAATCACTCAGTCACCCAAAGCTCTTATCAGTATAGATAAGTGGTATTTAGCATGCTTAGCAGCTGTAAGATCACACACTGATATTGATCTACAGCTTACAAATGGTATCAGCATGCTCATTGGTATACACAGCTTATTAATGACTTGTGTACAGTAGTTAGATTTAGAAAGAACATATCTCATCCCTCTTGATTTGCATGATTCTTGGACAAACTGACTTGTGGCTATGTCTACATGTTATTGTGACACGGTTCAAGTTTTGAGGACAATGCCTTAGCCAACTGGGCCACCAATGCAATGACGTCTTTGTTTTGTTTGTTTATTGTTTAACACTGCACTCAGCAGTGGTCTGTCTGTAAGTAATTAAGTCTGGACCACACAAGCCAGTGACTGACATCATGAGCATCAATCTACACAATTGGGATAACATGATATGCATCAACACTTGCCATAAAGACCACCAGCAGATAATAATGTCATGATATTCCAGTTTTATGAACTAATGAAATAAATATGGATAGATGGAATATCTACAATAATCATACATAGTTTTGTAACTTCCAACTATTTCATGAATTTGAGAAGTGGTAGCTTGCGATATGTTTTATATCATGTGCCCTTTTCTCATATGCACCATATCATCAGATTTACATTCTACATCACTGAGATATTTACTCAAATTCTCAGTAAAATAAGAATTATATTTATATATAAATATGCCATAAACAAATATCAGAAACAAAACAGTTTCGTTTTAACAAATTCATACAAGGATAATTATTTGGGACCACTTAAAATGTAGAGGTATTTACAAACCATTAAACCTTACTGAGGTGCAATGGAATTTGAACTGTGGGTATCCAAGGTTTAGCATGAAAGGCAAGGAGGCCTTTTCATAAGTTCAATGTTGAAAATACAAAATTAGGGGGTACCTTGGTTCAAACATTGTAAGAGTAAATCGCATGGGTAGCAGACCCCCACCCCCTACCATAAATTCAGACACTGACAGTTGGGTGTCAAACTACAATTTTGTTCATGATTTGCTCTTGGATGCATGTCATTACAGCAGATTGTTAGGTACACCCTGGAACAAATATATACAAGAAAGCCCATGCAAGTCTAGATTATGTGGCAAGTCTCAGGGCCCCATTTCATTATATACTTGTTTTTTTACTATGAACTGTTTTTTTCTGTAAAATATGTTCATTTCAGAGACTAGTTGTTAGTCTAACAGTTTGGTAACGGGAAGCTAGTACACTGTACATAGATTTGTTCAGTGACACTCACTACTATGGGTCAGGTGCAGTTAGCATGACTAGGCAAATCCTGGCCATCAATGTCAGATTAAACTAAACAACTAGATTTCAGTTAGGCCATGGCAATATATGATTGCAGTAAACCAGGTCACAGTCCATATTAGCTTTTAATCCATCGGTGGACCACGCTGAGTTAAAACATCAGTCTATACAGCAGAACAACCTATGCCCTCCAGTCAAAAAATAACAATCAAATAATACAACTTATTTACTAAACATGCTCTACTAACAATATTAACATAATCAATAAACACTTTCTGAAATACTCATTGACTAAAAACCTGAAAATCCCAAAATAAACAGTATGATGAGAAAACATGATCAACCCCTCAACACAATGACATATATATGCAAATAAAATATGATTATTCAATCAAATTTGATTCAAGTCGAGAATAGAATGATTCTTTGTTTTTACCAGTCTGATGAACAATTAATTAGATGCCTTAGGAAGAAAGACAAGGCATTTAGAAGATAAAACAACTGTGTCTTCAATGTAGAGGTTTTGAAGGTGGATTCAGTACCTGCAAATTTACCTGACCTAAATGTGATAACCTGCCAACAGATATCTGGACATAATGGGGTCACATTTTCCTGTTTACCAAAAGCCTAATGACAAAACGAAGTCATTTCTGTATACCATTGTTTACAGGATGATGCAACAATATGTTTACAGGCTAAGTTCAATTAGAAATATTGTTCGCATGCAAGCTGCATTATAAGGCAGCATATGTAAGCGCACAGGTAACATCGACAATGACAAATCAGATGACGTAACGCTTCAATGCACCATAGGACTTTAACAATAGAACCTGCCTGGGAACGAACTTTTTGACATTTGATCATTTGAAAGGAGAGTGGCAATAAACATGATAAACCAATAAACATAAAAATGTCAAATAGTGATAATGTAATTTCTTTTACTGATTACAAGACTTTAACAATTAAACAAAGCACAAGGACAAGAAGATACCCCGAGAAAAACAAATATCACATATATTAATATTTAACACAATTAAAATTTGTCAGCCATTCATTTTTCTCTAAAGAGGGAACAAAATCCATTAATAACATGTAACATGTCCATTTATAAAACAAAAAATATATATAATGCTTTAGACAGGTTTTTAACCCCAGCCAACCTTGCCAACTAATACTAAGTCTTGCATAGGCTTAATTTAGTTTATGGTGATGATTTGCTTAAATCAATAGACCATTTTAACAATGTACATGCTTTAACTAACATAACATAGTAGCAAATGACATAAAGTTACAAATTAGATGACGTGTATCGATAATATTTTATTTTGCTCTGGGGTTAAAAATAACGTGGTACACTGATTAGTGAACTGTCAAATCACGGAGTCTAACAAAAACAAACCAGCAATATTTCCCTGTAAATAGTTACATTATCAACCTTTCCTGCCACTTCGGCTAAGTAATATATACATACAAAGATCATCATTAGGATTTCCTTACCTACACACAATCGAACTGTCTGACATAATCATAGTCTATTATCAACAAATCGGCTCAGGCTCATTCACAAGTCTGCGACATTGTTCCGAAGAAACTTACCATCTCGCATGGGGACTTTAGCGGATGGACTGCGACTGTCCGCAGCCATTTCTAATTTGCTCGAATTTAGTAGTTATCCAACTGTCGAGATTTTAACCCATAACTTGCAACAATAACGCAGAAATAGGTCATGTCGTTCGGTTCTGTATTTGAGTCATCAACATTCTTCTTCAAAGAGCAGCCATTTTTAACTACTAAGGGGCATAACTCGTGTTATGCTTTCGATTCAGACATCCGCCGGGCTGCCATTCGGAAAATCAGGTTCAAGTGAACACGCAACACATAAATTATTCAAGACACAAGTATTGCATGCAAAATTATATTTGCCCACTATTGTTATATCATAAAATATATATATTAAAACGAATGGCCCGTATAGTTCTTATGAAGGTTGTTCTGTATTTATTGTATTGTCAATAAACATGTACATGGGTCACAACTGAACAACGTATGTCCTTTGAAATGTACACTAAATACCAGACATTCATTTCCACTCAAGAAAAATATTTCAGTGGAATATAAGGTAAATATTATATATTTACCTTGGATAAGATAGCAATAGTGAGTGAGTGAGTGAGTTTAGTTTTACGCAGCTTTTAGCAATATCACGGCGGGGGACGCCAGAAATGGGCTTCACACATTGAAGCCATGTAGGGAATCGAACCCGGGTGTTCGGCGTGACGAGCGAACGCTTTAACCACTAGGCTACCTCACAGCCCCTAAGATAGCAATAACCCCCTGCTATTGCATGTATGTGGGCGTGCGTGCGTGCATGTTTATTTTAACACCACACTCAGCTATATGACAATTGTGTGTACATGTCATATCTTCTGCCAAATCTGTCTTCCTTTATATAGGTGTTTGGCTGTAAAGTTGCCATATCTTACAGAGAAGCCACTCCAAGCAAAACTAAAAGACCCTAGAACGACGACTACAAGACAACTATGTGGGGAAGCAGCTGTTGTTTACGGTAGTCACTGACCGACATCTCTGGTCGATGATGTTGTTGCCAATACCGGTCATTGGTGGAGCTTTCCAAGGAGATGCACAACGTTCAGGCAATGTGACACTGGCGATTGTTCGCAATAAAATCCGAATCCGACATTCGATACATACTGAATGTAAATCTAAATTGTAAATCAATGCCCGTCAACTGCCCGTGTCAGTTATCAACCCCATGGGTTCAATATACACGGGAGTACATCGAACAAGGTTATCGTTCACATTTGTATGTAGAACTGCCTGTTGTAACATGTACGCCTATTCTTTTCACGACTGTTTACCCATTCCCTAATAGGTGTCAAAGAAGGAATCCGGCAGTCAGGATTCAAGGAAACAGACACAACAACTATCAGTCTTCTGCATGGTCTTTGTAAAGGTTGGACACAGAAAATGATTAATCCCAAGGCTTCGAGTGTGTGAACTGGGTATAATTCTAGTTAACATTCATATTGTGATGTGATGAACAACGGTGAGAGTTCTATGGATATACAACATTAATATTGTTAATATGAGGGACGAAATTCCGAAGTGACACATGTAACAAAGGTTTCCCCCCTTTGGTGCAATTTATACGAGCAATGATCTGAGACTGACAAACCAAGGGTTTTGATAAGGACCAATATGGGATTCGAACTCACGATGAGTAGGCATATGTCTTAAGTCAGAGACATACAGCTGTACGATGCATGTACAATTGAGGCGCCTATTGATATGCATTGGAGTGAGTGAGTTTAGTTTTACGCCGCTTTTAGCAATATTCCAGCAATATCACGGCGGGGGACACCATAGATGGGACTCACACATTGTGCCGATGTGGGGAATCGAACCCGGGTCTTCGGCGTGACGAGCGAACGCTTTAACCAGTAGGCTACCCCACAGACCCGACATTGACAGGTATGACAAAGAGAGGTATAATCCTCACAAAGGGCCACTTGATTAACACATCGAATTAGTTTAATAGGGTTTAAATGGGGTCTTACACTATGGATTGTTTTAAATCTATCTCGACCGTCAGCGAAGTACTTTTGATTCTGAAAGAGAACACCTTCATGTGAACAATATGAGCATTAATTTACGACGGCATGTAGCGACCAGATAAGAAGATGTACGTAGACTTGAAACCCTAAGTTCTTCAACGGGGACTTCTCCGATAACGACCTGATGGTTGTGATAGATATCCTTTCATTCAGCCGTCTCGGTGACGGACACACAGTGTGATCCCGATCATTGTATACGAATAACATCTGTTGTGTGATACTGGACACTGTGTTATGATTAGGTCCTAATTACAGCAGCTAATTTGATTGGCATTCTTTCAACACGATCAATAATGTATCAACAATCTTAGGAAACCGGCTCGTGTCAGTTTTTGACAGTTTCAATGTAGGGTGCAAAAACTGATGAACGAGGGACTTTGGGTAAGCGCCACTTCGCCTATGTCTGGAGGTGCTTTGTTGGGGGAAGCGCGAAAGCAACACATGCAGGTTGTAGACTAGACTAATGCTTAGTCTCTGAATATATATAAGTTTGATAGTAACAAACAAGCCCATCTAAATTGAAAAGTGCTCCAGGGAGACCAGAGATTCAGCATTGAAATCTAGGCAGTTGCTTCATTTAGGGCTTTAGCATTGAGAGAGTCTGGCTCAGGCGGTAGGGAAAATAATATGGTTCAGGGGACTGTGAGACAGACTAGTTGTAGACATATAACGTTTTGAATCAGCACCTGGTTCATGAACCAGGGTTCAAGTATATATATGGGAACGAATCTGGATTCGGAACTCACGAGTTGTAGACATATAACGTTTTGTGCTAGGATGGGAGAATTGTCGGAACTGACTAGTGGGTGCTAGGAGTGAGTTGTAATGTGTAGTAGATATAGATAATTACAGGGTACAGCTTTACCCACTTTTGATGTGACAATAAGGTTAATTTTGAATTCCAAAGTCCATTGGTCTTCACGTCAACTTATATCTGTAAGTTCCCCATATTCACCTGAAAGATGTGATATTTGAAAGTTCGGAGATGAGTGGGGGTATGTGTACAATACATGTACACATAATAAAACTCAGATATAGTTGGTGGGCATCATTCTGTATCAAGTCACCTATACGAAATATTGTATTGCTATATGTAAACACAGTCCTCCTATTCTGACAAGGGTGAGTGAGTGAGTTTAGTTTACGCCGCACTCAGCAATATTCTAGCTATATGGCGGCGGTCTGTAAATAATCGACTCTGGACAAGACAATCCAGTGATCAACAGCATGAGCCTGACCACCCGATCCCGTTAGTCGCCTCTTACGACATGCATGGGTTACTGAAGATCAATTCTAACCCTGATCTTCACGGGTTCTGACATAAGGGAGACGACGGGGTCGGACAGTAAAGTAGGAAAATGTTTACAGCTAATAAACTCACACTACAACAGTCTTTTGTGTACTTTGTTCAACACCACAATCGAATCTGGTTCTGGACATCCGGTGATTGATATTGTGAGACACATCTCCGTCATTGGGCCACGATGACGGGCAATGAAAACAATCGTCATAATTTTCAACCTGATGGAATACGACGCCCCTCTCAACCAGAACAGGTTGTTGGGACCATCGTGTAACCTGTATTCCCACAGGACATGGGCAGGTATGACAAAGGGACGCATAAATCTCACAAAGGGCCACCTGATTAACACATGGAATTAGTTTAACGGGATGGGGAGTGCGGTGTGGGGGCTACACTATCAGCTTTTCATGACGACTACTTGCATATAAGTGTAGCATTTACATGTATGAAAACGTGTTATTGCAAACGTTTGGCAAGTAGAATACCATTTGATGGTATAACAATGACTTTTAGCGAAGACGCCTTACCAGGGTAGTATTTGCGAAATACTAAGTGAAGCGTTCGTAAAATTTCAGACATCATCATCACTGTCATCATCGACGTTTCTTTTCAGATATTCACACAGATAACATTTCAGCTTTATACATACTAGTATCTGTAATCTCCAGCTAATATTCACGTGTTCCAAAATCCACCATTAACGAGGTAGAATGACAGCTGGAGCATCTGATTTTAATTGTTCCTGAAAAACGATGCATGTCTATGTAGAATTCAGTTTTACGACGCTTTCAGCTAAATATGGAAGGTACGACAATGATAGCACATGGAGGAAAAATACACTCAAAATATTCATTGTATCAATCAAGGGAATCGAACAAAGGTGTTCAGTGTGGTGACCCAATGCCCAAGAGACTATATAACTTAACAGACCTTAACTAACCGTACAGTCGGGATTTTGTGTAATTTATGCCAACAGCTGATGATATAAGAGAAATATTCCGTTTCCCTTCCGATAATAATTGTTATTATCATAATTGTCAATAAAATTATTTTTATTTTTGTAAACCCGGTCCTTCAATAAAATAATTATTAAGCATCGACATTATAAAATACAGACATCAATGATACAAGTCTATTATCAAATTATAAGAGGTATGTATGTGTGTATGTACTTGCGTGCCCGTGAGTATAATGTCGATTGATGGCATACGGTGTAGCGTACGTCAAGATGTTTGAAAGATGCTTGAAATACCTGATCGAATCATACAGCTGGGTGTGGCTACTGCAAACCCCTGGTGATAGATTTCGTAACTCAGATTATTTTTGAATTCACATCACACGAAGCGCGCTACCCATAATTAATATAATGTCATGGTAAAACAACGTCAAAACTTTGAAACAGTGTAAGGTAATGATACAACATGCAACAATGACAAGTATGCGAAACACGAGTTTGTAATCGAAGTTCTCCGTGGGGAAACCGGCGCTTCACCAATCAAAAGCTTCATTACAAACATCCACGTCACGTGACTACAGGTGTTTGCTGGCTTGCAACACTCAGGTGAGACACGAATGTTTTTGTTTTCACCTTCCATCGTAAATAACCCCCTATCGTAAGATCTGCACTTGCATGTAGTTGTGTTTTGAGCCTAGATATGGAAACTGTTTCGCAGTCACGTGTTTTAAATTTGGACAACTTTGTGTCTGTGAAAGTTTGTGACTGAGTCGGGATGGCGGTGAGGTTTTCAGGTCATGGCGTCAGTGGTTTCCTGTTCATCGTTATTGTTTCTGGGTGATTTGAGATTGAATTGGCTCATTAGTTCCTGCATGGGTAACTTCTCCGACGTATTCGTGCAGTCGTTGATGCAGTGACATGTGTGTCACTGGTGCTTAATGCCTATGTCTATGCAGGTAGCCATGCGGAAGTGATACAGAGTTCTCGTAGGAATGTTTGTGTAACCCTACAAAGTAGCCTGTCACCAGTTTTCGTGGTACACGAAATCGTTAATAATTAATGATTATAATCGCCTGATGTAATCGTGCTAATCAATGTGCAGACGTTAATCCAGCAACACTGGTGTTATATAATGCCTTGTAATGCATGTGGGTTCTCAGTTCACACCAAATTTCACTCATCGAATTTATTATGGCAGTCGGAATACACACCAATCGTTGTCTCAGTGTTTGAATCCACTGATTGCGAAAATCCATGTTGAAGGAACCAAACGTTGCCTAACAAGCACAAATAAATATCATAACCTTACACTAAATTCAAACTTACAAACATAATTAGTCCATAAAGACATAAAGGACTTGGTTGTATCATTTGTTTGATGTATTAAATTGTAACAGGTGTTAAATTAATTATTACACATTCTGAATAAATTAAAAGTATAGCTTCTTGTACTTTTTTTCACAATCTTCATAATTTTCTATTGTATCAAATATAACACATTACAACTGACAACTTTTAAAAATCACTGTGTATTCGTATGGTTCCTGCTTCTTGTCTGTTTACATCATGTACACATAAATCCTCATTTGATTTGATTTTGTGAGGAAAAATGTTAATAATGTTAGTTTGTGGCATCAATGTTGTGTAATATTTCTATATTATGTAGTTTTGGAATTACAGTATAATATATGTGACATGACCTCACATGAAAATGAGTGTGATGATCACAGAGAAATGAACAGTTTGATGATTCATCCTGTTCATTGAATGTATAATTAATGAAGTTCCGCAAGAAATGATCATACGATTATGACAATTCAGTTCTTTGTGCACATGACAATTCATAAAAGATGGTATCAGAACTTTTCCCTGGGTTCGGATTTCACTGCTCAATCAATCTTCGGGTGAATGTGTTTTGGGGAAAACTAGCAGTTGATCATTTGTTGATCATGTTGATAGCATAAGCCACAATTAGTCGATCTCATAGTCCAAGAACCATATTAATTTTTTCTTCCGCCAAGTTCTTTCTAATAAGCATAAGCCCTAAATGAAGCAAGTGTAGATTTTTCTCTGGTTCTGAATCTCCCAACTCACTTGGCCTCTTTCAACTTTAATTGAGCTGTTTGTTTCCATCAAACTTATGTATTTTCAGAGACTAAACTTTAGTCTAAATCATCAAGCCACAGTGTCAGGTACGATAGTATTCAATTAGTCATGTCACAAATAGTTTTGCTTGCTCATAAGAAGTATTGGTGCAAGTATTACTGGGACCATATACTACCCCAGCAGCATTACATTAGCATAAGTTGCTTTACTTGCTTAGCCACATTCTGGAGGAATCGGTGTTTCCGCTGGCATTTTTTACAACTGGACACTGACCAGCTAGCAATTGTACCGGTCAAGTGATCACATTTATCATTGTGTGTGGGACATTGCACCCAAAAAAACAATCAGAAATGTAGAGGGTATCGCAATGCCACTATTTTTAGCCTGGGTTTTTCCAAAACTGCTATTATTTATTCGGCTAGCATTTCAAATACCGGTCATTTGTAAATTTTACCGGTCAAGCAGTGTTGCAAACTCCCGCCTGCCCGACCGTCAGGGACGGTCTGTTTTGCGACCGGACGGTCAGTTTTAAAAAGTTGCACACCCGATGGTCTGGCTGTTAAATCAGTGTAATTTCGTAATGTATATAATGACTAAAGCCAGGTGAAGTTGACCGAAAAACATTTGAAAATGTGTTATTGTGACAATAACATGACATTAAACAGTTCCCTCCTCTTATTAACCTTCTTTTTATTTGTGTTAATCCAAAAAATTCTGGACTGGCAACTTTCCAGCCGGTCTGGTAGCTTTTGAGAGTTACCAGACCAGTTGTCTAGCTGAAATTTTGGGGAGTTTACAACACTGGGTCAAGTGATCACATTTATCATAGTGTGTGGGACATAGATCATCAGCTATGATTTTTAGGTCATCAGAAAATATATTATGGGATCAAGAATGCCCATGAAATGTTCAGGTTTCAGTTTGTTAATACACGTAGTTTCATATAAAAGCCAGTTCGGTTATATTCCATGAAGGCTTTCAAATGAAAAGAGTCAATTGTAAGATTTAAGAGGTTGATCTCCCCAACCTAAGCCTAATGAATTACCTAATTTAAGTTCACTCATCTGCATATCATCCCACTTTTGGGATGGTATTTTGGCAAAAAATTGAGTATGGAAAAAAATGCAAACCATTTCCATTTAATTTTTCTATTTGAACAACAAATGTTTTAAACACATTCTAATGAACATACATAGTTAAAAGAGGGACTGCTGAAAAAGTCATATTACCTCACAATTCACTCTACAAGTAATGCGAATGGCTCAACCACTAAACAATTTACTCAGCTTCATTCACGTCTAAACTGCAGGTTTCTATCTTCAACAATAGGACAGAAATGCTTTTTTGAAGTATCCATCCCCCAAAAGGGACGATATGCATAAATGGATTAATGAAGGAAGACATATGTCCATCGACAGATATAAAAGAATTTGCCCATTATGTAAATTATCTATTAAAAACGAAATTCATATTTTATTCGTCTGTCCATCTTACATAGATTTACGTAAACAATATATTCCTGAATGTTACCTCTCTCCAAGTCACCTACTGTAGAATTTAAACAATTCCTGTCTTCTATTGACAACTGTATCAACTGAAAACTATCACAATACATCTACAAGGCAATGTCTAACTCTAAGTGTGATACTCCGTTAAAATCATCTCTGTATTCAAGCTGTATGTGATTGTATAATGCATGTAACTCCAATGTATATGGGCTGGAGGCCTGAAATACAATATACATCTTTTGACTTGACTTTGACTTGTACATCTATAATCAGTAGCTGATAAGTGTATATGTAGTCATAATACATGATCTGAAAAGATTATAGTTGATGAAAATATACACCACTGATTTACATGATCTGTGCATGTGATAACCTGCGATTTATCTGACAGTCATTCTACAATTCATTTGCAATTAATTGTTTTTAACCCTGTGCAGAGAATAAAACTCACGTCAGACCAGACATTTATTCTGCTGGTAGTCATGTTTGTCAAGTGCCTTTTTGCTTGAACTCTTTGATGTAATAGTTTATGTAATCCCAGTGACACACTGTCCATTCACTTGTATAATCTGGGATTTGACCTATTACCAACAAACCCAAACACAATCAAAGCCTGAAATTGGTATTGTCTTCATCGGCATCACAGTTTGTTGCCCCTTACTGGTGATAGGATCAGCTGATCCTGGGTTTGAATCCCAATGTGTCCTAATGATCATCCTTGGTTTGACATCACTACACTTGTGTTCGTGGACCCACGAAGATCCGGGTTAGAATTGGTCTTCATCAACCCAAGCTTGTCGTAAGAGGTGACTAACAGGATCAGGTGGTCAGGCTGGCTGATTTGGTTGGCACATGTGATCGGTTCCCAATTGCTTAGATCGATGCTCATGTTGTTGATCACTGGATTGTCTGGTCCAGACTCGATTATTTACGGACTGCCGCCATATAGCTGGAATATTGCTGAGTGCGGCGTAAAACACCAACCAACCGACTTGTGTTTGTAGATTCCACTTCAGTGGTAAACAGCTAGAATCTTCTTCAAAACAAGAAGCAAATAAATATGAGACCGAGCTACAGAAATAACTTTGTTCAGAATGTCTTTGAACTTGAAGAATCAGTATTGTTTTAGAAATACTCTACCACATACCAAGAACAATGTGTAATGGACCTGATTAATGCATATTTTAAGATGTTTAATAATGAGGGTATAACATGAAATGTTCCTGGTTGAAATAGAGTGCCTGAACTGTCAATGTAATAATAGCAGTACGTGATTCAAATGAATATCCTGCTGTGATATGATAGCATCCTTAATAAGCATCTGATACAATTACAAGTCAAAAGTGTGATTTAGAATGTGCCGACTCAGGATAAGGATACGAGTAGAATGAACTTGCCCAAGTTTGGTCACTTCCTGTGAAGTTATATAATTCATGGACGGAAACTGAGTCAAGTAGAAGCAAAGTTTGACATGTGACGGGAGTATTATGGGACGTGATTCAAGCCAGTTGACCATACTGAGAAAAGTAGGTACGAACATTATTTTCAAGAAGCCTGCATGTTATGGCACTCCCATGTCGGAAGTGGATTTGAGAAAGATTTTGTCTGGGACCTGGCAACTACATAATTACTGATGGTAGACTTCATTTAATGATTAGATGTACTGTGGATTCGGCTAACTGATGTCTGGTTGCGATAATCACGTGTACACTTGAGTCACTGCAAGTTTTAGACTCTACATCCTTAATGAGTCAGTTTGACAGTGAGTCTGTCCTCATCATGCCCCATGCGTGCACAAAGTAACATGTAATACAGACAGTGTTTATTCAGTAAAGAAGCCATCAGCCCATGATACAATCAGATAACATTGTATTTAGTTTAACTTTGCAGCTCTACATCCTGGAGTTTATTAATTTCTGATATAAGTATAGGCCAACATTGTATATAGTATCATTTTTGTTTTGTAAAAGATTTACAAAAGAGTAAAAAGTA